CAGCCGGAACGCACAGAGCTCCTCGTGGTCCGCCTTTTGGGTGTGCGGCAGAGTGATTTCACACCCCGAAATGGCGTGTTTGCAAGGGAACAGGACTGAGTTGGCCACCTTCTCCATGGCCAAGTTGCGGATGGTTCCCAAGGGGCCCCGACAGGTCGGACAGCAGGTGAGCTTGGGGCGACAGTTGCTGCAGACCAGGTGGCCGCTCTGACACTGCAGCGTGGGGGGCAGCGCGTAGTCAAAGCACACGGGACACTCAAAGAGACTGGCCAAGTCATTGTTGGACGCGATGGTGCCCCGCAGGGTGGGCACCTTCTGGGAAGGGGTGCACTTGGAGGTCCCGGTGGGTAACGCGGTGGATGTCCGGCGGCTCATCTGCAGGAACGTGGCCCAGGTGTTCCACATCCTCCAGGAGTAAGTCTGGGGGAGTCGAGAGAGGACCCCAAAGTACCTGAGAAGCGAAGCCCGGGGAAACCGAGGCTTATCACCAAAGGCCCGAGCCTCCCGGCCCAGCCACCGGCGCAGCCTCCTCCCCAACGACATAAACAGGGGAGGAGGCTGCATTCTTGCCAGCGCACAATGCAGGCGCGGGCCGGGGCGGGCGGAGAACGCGGGCACCCGGAACCCACCCGGCCTGCGGGGAGGGGCTGTGGGAAACGGCAGGCGCCCGTGCCCAGCTGAGCTCCGCCACGTGGGCCCGTGTACTGGGGTCCCGGCCCTCGCCCCTGGCTTCCTCTGTTTGTTTGTAATTAATCGGTATATATTATATAATATATCGGAATAATATAATATATTGTAAGTTTATACCACATTTTTAAAAAATATATTTTCATTGATTTTTTTACCCTGAGGAAGGAGAGGGATAGAGAGTTAGAAACATCAATGAGAGAGAAATATCGATCAGCTGCCTCCTGCACACCCCCTACTGGGGATGTGCCCGCAACCAAGGTACATGTCCTTGACTGGACTCAAACCTGACACTCTATCCACTGAGCCAAACTGGCTAGGGTGCCATATGCATCTTAATCTTTTATATCATTCATTTTAAGTTGACGGTTAATTCAAAAACTGAGTTTTAATCAAAGCTGTTTTCAAACATTGTCATAATGTCACGTTGAAGAGTCATATCAATGGTACCAGCCATTGCTTCTCGCCTCCTCCGCTCTTGCTCTCTCTCCCTTGCTAAATTACGGTCTTTGAGAAGCCCAAGTCTACTGTCCTCTTGAGCTTCCAATGACTGCTGATGTTCTTTTTGCTTGTCTCCAAGGCACTTGTTTGGCATCTTATTTGAAAAAGATTCTAGAGTGGAACCAGGGTGCCTTTGATTTTCTTGAAATACTTTGGGTTCCTTTGTATTCTGTTCCAGATGTTTCCGTATCAGTTCCTGTGTTCGAGCTTTTGCTTCCTTCTCTATTGCTGCTTTTCTAAACTGGTTGAAGAGCTCATCGGAGGATTTCCCTACACCTGAAGTTTTAACTGGTTTGCCTACACTTTTCCAAGAGTCAGCATTCTTGATTTTTATATCCTTCTGCACAGAAACTTGACATTCAGACTCGACCACCATTGTGTCATCCCCGGACTGATGCATCACAGTTAGGCCATTCAAGTGATTTTCAGAACCACCTGAGAAAGGCAGGATTTGTAAAGGTGAAATGTTTTTCACACTCGGTTTCTGTTCTAGTTCTTGATGATTAATTGCTAACTGGTGGTGATCTGGTGCGGTTCCACTTGAATGTGCAGTCTGATGAAAAAGGGCAATAGTGCTAGAGGTTGTATCTCGCATAGTAGATTGTATCTTTACTTTCTCTTTAGAAGGAGATCCATTCTGTTTCACTTCAGTAAATTTAGGTAACATTTCTGATTCGGAATCACTGCTGTCTGAAGTAACTGAATCACTGCTACTACTTTCAGACTCTGACGAACTGCTGCTGCTGTCACTCAATCGGGAATCAATGCCAATAACAGCTGTGGATGATGGCGTTTTCTCAGATTTTGTTTGGCATTTTCTGGAATTTAACTGATTATTGACATCTAGTAATCGCTTTTCCAACTCCTGTTTTTTCTGTGCATGAAGTTCTTCATTTGACTTCATTATTTTCTTACTACTAGGTTTTAGTGGTCTTTTTCTTAGACATGCAGCAACATATTTTTCTAGCTCTCTCAGTGTTGTAGTTTTCAGTGTTTTCAAGTCTACCTCTATCTCCTCATGGCTGGAATTTCTCAGTGAAGCTTCTCTTGAATGTATTATATGAAGGACTTTTCCAAGTTTATCTACAGGGAGTTTGCTTATATTCAAACTTAACCGCCTTTTCTCATCATGGCTCATAGGTTCAGCATTATCTTCATCCTCAGACTTCAGAGCCAACACTGATTGTTCCCTCTTCTTTGGATCATTGCTCTTAGATTTCTCCTTTAATTTCATTTGCTTAAACTTCTTTCTTGGATTTTCATCTGTGTTATCAACCTTTCCTTTTTTCTTTTCCCGTTTAGATTTGTCATTTTTTTCCTTTAGCGTATGGAAAGGTACTTGGGATAGAACCTCCAGTTGCTGATGAATAGCTTTAAACTGCTTCTGAAGCTTTGCAATAGAGTGATCTTGGTCGTCTTCAGAATCACCAGAAGAGTTATCTTCAGAGGAAGTTTCAGCACTGCTTTCTCTACCAGGGGACTTTGTGGTATCTGTTTTGATATTATATACAGGCTTACTCTCAACAGGTTCATCTGGGATCTTTGCAAAATGCATTTCAAACACATCCTGGAGCATTCTTGCCATTGTCACTACTTCATGATCTGGAGGACTGCATCTGTAGCAATTCAGGAACATTAATCTAACATCTGCAGCAAATTCATATGCATCCTTATATTCTTGGTTGTCCATTTTTCTCTTGATAGTTCCAAGATCCATTGGATTTTCCACAATGTCATAGTAGTTATGGAGTCCCAATGCAACATCAACAGGATTATAAAAGGGCCATGCATATGAAAAGTGCTTCTTTGCAAACAGTTCTTTCAGAATCTCACTACAGTGCCTTAACGGTTCAGTTACTTTAACTTTATATTGTTGCTGAGAATTCAGCAAAACATTCTTCCCCCCACTTTCTTTTACGGGTGGCATTTTGGCTATTTTTTTTTCTGGAAGTGCTGGGGAAGGTTCACCACTTGCTTTAATGACTGAAGTTGTAGGAGTTGTTGTATCTGTTTTCCTCTTTACACCCTTTGTAACCTGGGCCACTGTTTGTGAGGTAGAGTTGGGTGGAGCACCTTGTGCCATATTTAAAGGAGAAGTAGATGATTCAGGAAATACCGAGGGACTCACTTGCAGCTTAAATACTTTTTCTGATCCTTTAGGAGACTGTTTTTCTTTAACAGAAGAAACTGCTACATTCTGTTGAGTGCCTTTCTTTCTTCTTTCCTTACCACCCACAACTTGCTCTTCTCTTGGCATCTGTAATAATTTCTGTTTAAATAAATTCTCTAGAGCTTTTACCATAAGAACAACGTCATCTCCAGGCTTGTTGTATAAATAACAATTCGAGAACATTGTTCTGAAGTCTTCTATGCATTCTGAAGCCTCCACATAATACTTATTTTCCAAGCGCTTCTTAATTGTACTTAAATCCATTGGGTTTTTGATAATGGTGTAATAATCGGGCAAATCTAGTTTCACGGCATCCACAGGCTGCTGAAAAGGCCAGGAAAAACTATGCTTCCATAAAGCCTTCAAGACAACTTTTTGTAGATACTGCAGCTGATTTGTCAATCTCCCATTTTTCTTAGTATTTATATATTCTGGTGGTGGAGGGTTAATAATAGCTATTTGTCTTCTTGGCAGAGACATTCTTAATTGCTTCAAATTCTAATATTCTAATGTCTACAAATAAGTGTCCTTTTTCTATATAAGTACTAGATGTTGTTATTATGCCTTAGTTTTGGATGATTTAGGTTATTTCAATCTTTCACAGTATTTCTGTTTTTCTAAGACACAAATTGACGTCTTAGCAGGAAAAGTCTGTAAGTTTGTCTTGTAAGAAGGATCTTGTCTGATCGTCCCCTGGAGCTTGCACAGGATAAAATGGTGCAGGCAGCAGTTCTCCACCGTTCTCCACCAACTGTTGCCACCAGCTCTCACCTCGATGGCGGCTGTTCTTGCGCCAGTTGTTGGGGTCCAACCCCAGCAGGTCCAGGGGTTCCCAAAGGTGTGGATGGAGTTGGCGAAGAAGAAATGCGTTCAGTTGATCAGCTGCCTAGCCAGGTTCTCCAGTCAAGTTCTCCAGCCAGGTTCTGTCTGTCTTCTCCTGTTACATCTGTATTTATACCAGTTGATTTTAATCCTATCCATTCTATTCCAAAGGTTAGGGCGTTTCTTATCTCCATTCCAAGGTCACTACTCTATTGTTCTGTTAAGCTACAAGGAAGTAACTGAAGGAGATTATCCTAAGTAAAGATTATGTAGCTTAAGCGTGATTGTTCCTAGTTAAAGTGATTAATTACCCGCCTGGCACTTAGTTAAGGGGTTTTACTGATTTGCTTCCTTAGTCCTGTTAATCCCTAACTCCAGGGAAAAACCCCCACCTGGGGAAACAACCTTTCTCAGGGAGGTGGTCCTGTTTAAAACACATATCCCATATACACCAGGTCCCTTGAAACATAAGCTGTGCAGATGTTTCTTCCCTGCAGTGACTGTGTCAAGCAGCAAGGGTGGACTGGCTTCCAGCAAATTTTCATACCAAATAATTTTCAAATATGTTGAAAATATATGTATAAAATTGTATATAGACACTAATTTGTTCAACTATGAATATACATCCCCACGCTTCCCTACTGCTTCAACTTTGCTTGGCCTGGAATGAAATCTCCTGCATCTCTGTGATGGTTGACGGAGTCCCAGACTTGGAAATGTTCAGTGGCCGGAAAAAAGGACTGCAAGAAATTCTTTCCCCAAAGTGCTCCATCAGATATCCTTTCGTATTTCTTTAGGCTAAATTGCAGTCACATGTTTATTCTTTAAAAAAAACACACACCCTAATTTTGGAGGAAGGGAGAGAAACGGGGGGGGGGGGGAGAAACATCAATTTATTGTTTCACTTATTTATGCATTTGATGGTTGATTCTTGTATTATATATGCCCTGACTGGGGTTTGGACCCACATCTTTGGTATATGAGGACAACACTCTAACCAATTGAGCTATCTCGCCAGGGACATGTTTATTCTTTAATTAAACATTGGTTTACACCAGCACTTTTCAGTCGGTGTGCCATGGCAAGAATTTGTAAAACTTGAAATACCTGACTATTTAGTCAGGGGCACTGACCTCTTTTCCCTTAGATTGTTGTCAAATAAAAAATGACAATAATCAATACAACAATAGCCGTC